CATAGTTCTCTGCATTAATGGTGCCTTTCCAGACATGCAAGCTGCCCGTGCCACAAGCGCTCATGCAACCCCATACCATCAGTGATGCAGGCTTCTGAACGGAGCATTGTTGATAACAACTTGGGCTATCCTTGTCCTCTCTGGTCCGGATGACATGGTGTCCCAGTGTTCCATAAAGAACTTGACAAATTGTGACTTATCTGACCACAGAACAGTCTTCCATTGTGCCACACTCCATTTTAAATGACACCTGGCCCAGTGCAAACGTCTGAGCTTGTGGAGCTTGCTCAGAAATGGCTTCCTCTTTGCACTGTAGAGTTTCAGCAGGCAACGGCGGATGACACGGTGGATCCAGTACAGTCCTCACTGCACTGGACCGCATACACTACACCACTCTCTCATACACAAACAGAGTGGTGTAGTGTATGCGGTCCAGTGCAGCGAGGACTGTCCAGACCTCTACATTGGAGAAACTAAACAGCCTCTTCACAGACGCATGGCTCAACACAGGAGAGCCACCTCCTCTGGACAAAATTCCGCAGTTCACCTCCATCTCACAGATAAGGGACACTCTTTTGAGGACCAAAATGTGCACATTTTGGACCGAGAACACAGATGGTTTTAGAGGGGGGGTGAAGGAAGCGATTTATGTAAAAAGAGAAAAGCCGTCTCTTAACAGAGGAGGAGGCCTCAGATTTCCACTTTCAAAAACATGTAATGCAACTTTAAAACAGATTCCCAGCCGGTTTTCACACTTGATGGGAACAGAGGGGCCTCGTCTGTGAATTAGATGAACAAAGACCTACTGTTTAGGTGTTTAGGTGTGAACTGAATCTACATATGTGTGTGTGTGTTGTGTGTGTGTCTTATCTCACTCAGCCTTATAGCCTGAACCCCTCGCTCACTGCTCTTTGAATTGAGAAAGCTCCTCGAATGAGGAGCGAAACGTTTTATGTTACAAATAAAGTCCAGTTGTTTTTGTATTGAACGCTTTTTGAATTTTGTTGTAAACAATTGATTTCTCCACTTACCGGCCATTTTTGCCTACAAATGTAGCAAGGTATCCATGCCCGTTCGTGTCGTGGATAGTTTCTACCAGTTCCTGCTCATGAAGAATGGACAGCAGACCAGGAACTATAGAGGCAGAGTCAACTGGAAACATACAGAAAATAAATAAATAAAAAAACTGTAACAATTTGCCACATTAATAAACAGTATTCAATGCAATATTCAGATTTTTTCAACCTTTATTTAACCAGGTAGACCTAATTGAGACTAAACATCTCTTGAGTGAACTGGCCAAGAATGGCAGCAGCGCACAAACATTATCAAAGCACACTTAAAATAGATCAAAGTAAATAGCAGAAATATAAAAAGTGAAACAAGAGGAACAACAACACCTATAAAACAAAAAAATATATCAATACCAGTTTAAACAATTACAACAGAAAACATCCTATATTTACAAACCGGATTCCAAAAAAGTTGGGACACTAAACAAATTGTGAATAAAAACTGAATGCAATGATGTGGAGATGGCAAAAGTCAATATTTTATTCGTAATATAACATAATGACAGATCAAAAGTTTAATCTGAGTAAATGTAACATTTTAAAGGAAAAATATGTTGATTCAAAATTTCACAGTGTCAACAAATCCCAAAAAAGTTGGGACAAGTAGCAATAAGTGGTTGGAAAAAGGAAATTGAGCATATAACGAACAGCTGGAAGACCAATTAACACTAATTAGGTCAACTGACAACATGATTGGGTATAAAAAGAGCTTCTCAGAGTGTCAGTGTCTCTCAGAAGCCAAGATGGTAAGAGGATCACCAATTCCACAATTGTTGCACAGAAGACAGTGCAGCAATACCAGAATGGTGTTACCCAGCGTAAAATAGCAAAGACTTAAGTTATCGTCATCAACCGTGCATAACATCATCAAAAGATTCAGAGAATCTGGAACAATCGCTGTGCGTAAGGGTCAAGGCCGTAAAACTCTACTGGATGCTCGTGATCTCCGGGCCCTTAAACGTCACTGCACCTCAAACAGGAATGCCACTGTCAAGGAAATAACAGAATGGGCTCAGGAATACTTCCAGAAAGCATTGTCAGTGAACACAATCCACCGTGCCATCCGCTGTTGCCAGCTGAAATTCTACAGTGCAAAGAGGAAGCCATTTCTAAGCAAGCTCCACAAGCTCAGACGTTTGCACTGGGCCAGGGGTCATTTAAAATGGAGTGTGGCACAATGGAAGACTGTTCTGGGGTCGGATGAGTCACGATTTGAAGTTCTTTATGGAACACTGGGACACCATGTCATCCGGACCAGAGAGGACAAGGATAGCCCAAGTTGTTATCAATGCTCCGTTCAGAAGCCTGCATCACTGATGGTATGGGGTTGCATGAGTGCTTGGGGCATGGGCAGCTTGCATGTCTGGAAAGGCACCATTAATGCAGAGAACTATG